CCTGTCTTGCTCCTCTCTCTCGGTCGTCTGTCCAACGTGTTTGTATTTTGGCTATTATTAACATTACATTATTTCTAAAAAGTTGTTTATCTAAAAACAAATCATTGATATCCCAATAAAGAAGAAAATGGATCACCTTAGGTCATATGAAGTTCAACAGACCTTGGGTAATAATAATGTTTTCTTGAGTCAAAAATGTGTTATTTAAAAATGTTTAAATGTTAAGTGTTAAATGTTTTAAATGTAAATAAATATAATATGCAAAAGAAAAAACCAAGTTACATTTTATTTTTAGGGTTTCAGTGTTAATATAAAACTTCCTTTCAAGAAATATTATTTCTTAAATCGAGAAATAAAATTTCTTGAAAGGAAATTTAAACAAGAAAGAATTTTTCTTGTTTAAAAGGTGCCTTTCTAAAAAACCCTTTCTTGTTTTAAGAAATTTAATTTCTTGAAACAAGAAACAAACCACCTTTGAAACAAAAATCGCCTTTCTTGTTTTAAGAAATATTTTTTCTTGTTTTTATGGTGGCTTTCTAAAAAACCCTTTCTTGTTTTAAGAAATTTAATTTCTTAAAACAAGAAATATTTTTTCTTGTTTTAATGGTGCCTTTCAAAAAAACCATTTCTTGAAACAAAGGTGAGGTCGCCTTTGGCAAAAATTCAAGAAAGAATTTTCTAGATTTTAAGGAAATTCTTCGATTTTTTTTTATGAGTGTAGTCATATCGACATCCTTCTGGTGTCAGAAACGCACTTCAACCAAAAATCATATTTCCATATCAAAGATAACGAACTATTTACAGCTAATCATCCTAATGGCAGAGCACGTGGCGAAGCAGCTATTCTTATTGGAAGCGGTATCTCTTACATTGAATTACCGAATATGGAAATCCCTTGGGTGCAATGCCTTTAAATACGTATTACCACATTGTCTGGAGATGTGACCATTGCGGCAACATACATCCCACCCGCCAGTAGTGTTGACTACAACATGTTCAAGAACCTCATCGATGGACTTGGCAACAGATTCATAATAGCAGGCGATTTCAATGCTAAGCATACGTGGTGGGGCTCCAGACTTAGCTGTCTTCAAGTGCGTTCACGAAAAAAGATTAGACTGTCACTCAACTGGAGAACCTTCATACTGGCCAACTGATACTAGCCAAATTCCTGATGTTCTAGACTTCGCCATATCAAAAGGATTGGATGCCAACAAAATAAGTTGCAGGAGCAGCTTTGACCTTTCGTCTGATCACTCTCTAGTGGAACTTCTCGTCAACATACCAGCCTCAACTTCCAGCCCTCCGAAGAGACTACTTAGCAAACGGGCCAACTTACAGCTATTTAGTACATGGCTAGAACAAAACGTAGATGGCAGTGTTTCAATATATTCTAAGGACGAAATCGTCGAGCACATTGAAATTTTCACAAGACAAGTACACCTCGCTGCGGAAATCGCTGACCCGCCTAAAATGTCATGTTCCCGGACGTATCCTAAGAGAGAACTTTATCTATGGTCATCTGAAGCCGCTCAAAAGGTTGCTGAGAAAAGACGACTACGGAGGGTAAATTAACTAAAGACCTTAAAGACTTATTAAATCAAATGAGGCAAAAGTCTATAGATGACTTTTTAGAATCGGTTAACCCGTGGGATCTAGAAAATAATCTTTGGTCAGCAACGAGATACCTTAGGCGACAATTAAAAACTTACATGGTGATTTTTGTTGCTCGAACGAAGAAAAAGCAAAAGCTTTTGCTGAGCATCTTGGAAAAGTGTTCTAACCATTTAATAAATATTCTTCTACTGATTATACCGAAACAGCTTCGTTTCTGGACTCTCCCTGTCGGTGTGACATCCCTATTCAACCGTTTGATGATCAAGATGTTTTGAAAGAGATAGCGGAAATCAACATAAAAAAAACACCTGGATTTGATGGAATCAACGGAAAAGTTATCAAAGCACTTTCTCAAAATTGCTTAACACTACTTACCAACATCTTTAACGGTTGCTTGAAGCTCAGCCATTTCCCATCGCAATGGAAGTGTGCAGAGGTCAAAACAGGCTCTACTGCTCTGCTGTGTTTCTGGACGTAAGACAAGCCTTCGACAGAGTTTGGCATAAGGGGCTTCTCTTCAAACTAAAGCGGTCAATAACCACCCCACATTATCTATTTCTCAAGGACTATCTGAAGAATCGGATGTTCTACGTTCGTTGCGGAAATGCCCTTTAACTTCCATCTCATCTGGTGTTCCACAAGGCAGCGTGCTCGGGCCAGTGCTATACACTCTCTTCACTGCAGATTTACCTGTCGATAATAAAGAACTTATCCTAGTGGCGACGTACGCGGATTATACCGAATTTCTCGCTAGCTCTGATTGCTTAATGGCCGCTACAAATATTTTACAAAAACAGCTAGAAGCTTACGAAAATGCTTTGTCCACCAGTTTTTCTCAATGGTAACCAAATTCCGTCAGCAGAAACAATCAAATACCTGGGTCTTACCTTCGATAAAAGACTCACCTGGAAGCCACACATACTAGCCAAAAAAAATCAGATTCTCACTAATTTTCAAAAAATGTACTGGCTTCTGGGAAGAAGCTCAAAACTCAACACTAATTACAAGATGCTGCTATACAAGAAGCCGATTTGGATTTACAGCATCCACCTCTGGGGCACTGCTGCTAAGTCCAATGTAGAAATACTCCAGAGGTATTTACGAAAAATCGAGAATTACACAAGACGCTTGTGATCCACCCAATACACGAAGAAATACAAATTGTCAGTCAACGATATGTTACGAAGCTGTTTAATCATCCGAATAATCTAGCCATTGATCTCTTGGATGACGGTAATTGCCCAAGGCGATTGAACCGACTCCACCCTTTGGAACTTCCATTCTTCTGAACATGATTGTTAACAATTGTATTTCCAATATTATTGTAGTTAAGGTGTCACTATACAATTTAGTGATTGTCCAAAGGACAGATTCTAAATTCAATAAAGAAAAAAAAATAAAATTTTAATATTATTGTATTAGGGCGGTTCTTTTACGAACCGAACACCTTTTATTGGGTCACATTTTTGATTTGCCTGAAACTTTTTTTACACGTACTATTCGGAAAATAAGTAAACAAATGTATCAGGATTTGACCGAAAAAAATTATTTTTTAGATAATTCTATCTAAAAAAATTCTTTTTTAGATAGAATTTTTTTAAGTTTGCCAAAAATTGTCAAATTTGAAAAAGTACCCTCTCATTGAAAATCTGTATCCCCGTTTATATGAATCCGATAAACTTCATGTCTTTTGCATTAATTCCTCTAAAGCCTCTTCTTTCAAAATAAAATTTCTAAAAAAAAAGTTTTTAATTTCTTAAAAATAAAAACAAATTAAGATTAAAAAAAAATTTTTAACCATTGCCCCACAACATTTTTTTTTTTTTTTTAATACTTGCGTCATATTGTTAGTTACAATCGGTTTTTGTAAAAAGTTGAAGCCACTTTTAGTTTTTAAAATATCGAATTTGTTTTAGCAAGGCCTCGTCTTTTTCTATGAAAAAACGTCGCAGCATGTAGATCTACTCTCTCACTCTTATCGGATCCTTATGGAATTCATGTTTTCTCATTGTTTACTAGTCCTTTAACAATTGTTAATGATTAAAAGTTAAGTTTTAAGTCTTTTGACAATTTCTGAATGACAAAAAGTAAAAAGTCATTTTTTAATCAATTAATAACTTACAATTATTTATTTAACCGTCCATTTAACAAACAATAATTTTAAAATTTTTTTATTTATTATTTTTCTGTATTATGTAAATTATTAAACATTTTTAAATATATATTTTTCAATTTTTTAAAAAAATTTATTAAATTTTAAATATTTTTAAAAATTTACAATTATTTATTTAACCGTCCATTTAACAAACAATAATTTTAAAATTTTTTTATTTATTTTTTTCTGTATTATGTAAATTATTAAACATATAAAAATTTTTTTTTTTAATTTTTTAAAAAAATGTATTAAATTTATTAATTTAAATTTATTAAATACATTTTTTAAAAAAAATTAAAAAAATATTTAAAAATGTTTAATAAATTACATAATACAGAAAAATAATAAAAAAAATTTTAAACATATTGTTTATTAAATGGACGGTTCAATAAATAATTGTAAGTTTTTAATTGATTAAAAAATGACTTTTTACCTTTTGTCATTCAGAAATTGTCAAAAGACTTAAAACTTAACTTTTAATCATTAACAATTGTTAAAGGACTAGTAAACAATGAGAAAACATGAATTCCATAAGGATCCGATAAGAGTGAGAGAGTAGAACTACATGCTGCGACTTTTTTTCATAGAAAAAAGCCGAGGCTTTGCTAAAACAAATTCGATATTTTAAAAACTAAAAGTGGCTCCAACCTTTTACAAAAACCGATTGTAACTAACAATATGGCGCAAGTATTAAAATAAAAAAAAAATTTTTTTTGTGAGGCAATGGTTAAAAAAGTTTTTTAAATCATAATTTGTGTTTATTTTTAACAAATTAAAATCTTTTTTTTTAGAAATTTTATTTTTAAAGAAGAGGTTTCAGAGGAATTATTTCAAAAGACATGAAGTCAATTGGATTCATATAACCGGAGATACAGATTTTCAATAAAAGGGTCCTTTTTCAAATTTTACAATTTTTGGCACACTTAAAAAAATTCTAACTAAAAAAAATTTTTTTCGGTCAAATCCTGATACACGGTTTACGTATTTTCCGAATAGTACATGTAAAAAAAAGTTTCAGGCAAATCAAAAATGTGAAATTTTTTTTTTTTGGCCAAATCTGTTCGGTTTGTAAAAGAACGGCCCATTATTATAAATACTATTGAAAATTTGTCTCCTCTCGAAATTTTAATGGTGGTCCTGAAAAGGACCGATTGCTGAATAAAGTGCAAGCTGTACTAGTTTTTTAAAAGCCGAAGCCATACAGGGTGCAGCCTTGCCTCTTCAGGGCTTACAAAACATCCATGGCTGTGACAGTCTTCCTCTTGGCGTGTTCGGTGTAGGTGACGGCATCACGGATAACGTTCTCCAAGAACACCTTCAGAACGCCACGTGTTTCCTCGTAAATGAGTCCAGATATGCGCTTTACGCCGCCACGACGAGCCAAACGGCGGATAGCTGGCTTCGTGATACCCTGGATGTTATCACGCAGCACTTTGCGATGACGCTTAGCGCCTCCTTTTCCCAAGCCTTTGCCTCCTTCACCGCGACCAGTCATTATACCCGTTACTCGTAGAGTAAAAGGGTATATTGTATTCGTGCAAAAGTATGTAACAGGGAGAAGGAAGCGTTTCCGACCCTATAAAGTATATATAATGTTGATCAGGGTCACTAGCCGAGTCGATCTAGCCATGTCCGTCTGTCCGTCTGTCTGTCTGTCTGTCTGTCCGTCTGTCCGTCTGTCCGTCTGTATGAACGCTGAGATCTCGGAAACTACAAAAGCTAGAAAGTTTAGATTTTCCACACATATTCTTGGGCTTCCTACGCAGCGCAAGTTTATTTCAGCTGAGCGCCACGCCCTTTCTAACTCCCACAATCGCCCACTAACGATTTTAAAATGTGTCTGGCGCCCACACCTTTAAAGATTTTCGAGAAGTATAAATGCAATTTTATTGTTTATATTTATATCTATCACAATGTAGAAGACATTTTTCAAATCGGATCATTCATTAAAAAGTTATGCGCAATCAAAAAAATTTTATATATCCATCTCCCTCGCACTCCCTTTAGCTGAGGTTCGAATATTAGATAGTCGGGGCACCAACCCGAGTATAGCGTTTGCACTCCCTTTAGCCGAGTGACGGGTATTAGATAGTCGTGACACCAACCCGGCAATAGCGTTCTCTCTTGTTTTTACTCTTTTCTACTGTTAACACACTGCACGAAAGTTACTGAAGGGGGTAGGGTCTTTGGCACCAAAAAATCGACTAACTTTGCGATTTTTTCTATAAAAACTGGTTAGATGGATTGAATTCAAACATTTTATATATTATTAAGTGTCATTTAAATAACATCCACTAATTTTTATAGCCGATACTGTCGGCTAATATATCGGTGCCAAAGCGATTGGTGGAACACTATTAAAAATGGCGTTTTGCGGTGTTCTCTGTACCTCCGCTAAAAATGATAGGATTTCCATTTTGTTTTTACATTTCGCTTAAGAATTAAAAAACCCGCCCACTATGAAGCCCTTTTTTTAATTCTTTATTTTTAAGCATTTCTTTCGATAGTCCAAAGTCAAAAATGCGTTTTTCACCTAAAAAATTTGACTTTCGGCCTAAAAACGGGTGAACTTCCGTTTAGCTCCAACCCCCGATTTCGTCCAAACTTTCAAAATCCACGTTATTTGGGGTCCTGATTATTAAAAAAATAGTCAAAGTTGGCGCAAATAACGGGATCATGGAAAATAACGATAAAAACAGTTTTTCTTAAATATCTTCGAATATAATTACTTAATCAAAAAGCTAGCTAGGAGAAATGAAAGCTATTAAATAAATGAGTATTTTATGTTTTATACATTTTTTCTGTAAAACTTATAGTTTTCGTTAAAAACGCTAAATAAGAATATTTTTTCACAATGTTTGAAAATAAAAAACCGTTGGAGCACACTTGCGTCATTTTGTCCGATATATCGCACGGAAGCTTCATGTTATATCAGTAGACCTCGGATATTGCATATTTGCATATTTTTATAGGATAAAGATAGATCAATTCCGAAAACACCAAAGTTCGTTTCAATAAAAATATAGTTTAAAATGAATGGCATATTTTATTTTTTTTGCATATTTGCATAAAATGCATATGCATAAAATATGCAAAATATATGCAAAATATGCAAAATATATGTAAAATATATGCAAAATATGCAAAACATATGCAAAATATGCAAATGTGATTAACCAATAAAGAAATAACACTAAAATTTATAATTATAGATGATTTATATATTATTCAAGATAATTGGTATTGCAATATATAACAAGCATTTTCTCTAAATTATTAATTAAGAAACTTTGACGTTTCTCTCCAAAAACCATTTTGTATGCCGAAAAGCTTCTTTCTACGTCGCATGAAGTAATTGGTGCAAATTTATATTTACTAATATTTTCATCCAAATCCAAATAATTTTTTCTCAGCGTACTTTCATCTGGGATATGTTGCCCAGTGTACTTATTCAAGAAGTTTTTAAACGTAGTATTACTAAGCACATTCCATGGTATGTTAGCCGCAACTAAAGCTGTGCATAAATCCTTTTTGAATACTTTATCGATATTGTTGCTGGAAGTTGCATTATCGTCGGAGGCCTTCCACTTAATATGAAGTGAAGTAGCTAAGTGCTGCTGCAATTGAAATTTTTTTTGGAACGAAATCTAAAATAATAAAACCATTATTAAAACGGGCTTAATTTAGAAAAAAAAAGTTACCTTTTTATCACAAATAGTACAGATTATCTCGTTACCATCTATTTTGAAGCACTTTTCGGGAATGCTATCAAACCATTTTTTGATCAAATTGTTCTTAAATTTTTGCGATTTCGGCATTTTAACTATTTCACTTGGTTCACTTCACTTGACAAGATTCTCTTTGGCGATTGATTTTAATCCGAAAAATATTGTTTTATATTGCTTAAACTACAATATTTATCGAGTGCACTTAAATATTTTAAACAACTTTGCTTGCATATATTTTGCATATATTTTGCATATATATTGCATATTTTGCATATATTTTGCATATTTTATGCATACATTTTTGCATATTTTTTGCATATATTTAGCATATTTCCGATATGCACTTGAATTTATTATACTTAAAAAATATGAGACCTACCCACAAATTTTGGTAAAAATCGGAGCAAAAATGGACAAATATGCAAAATCCGAGGTCTATATATCAGTGTTTCAAAATTTATAATGATGTCTCTCGATGTATTAGCGATGATACTACCTAAGCACGAGAATGTTCTCGTAGTTCAATATAACATTTAGAAAACAAAATAAAATACAAATTATGTTTGTTGTTGGTATTAAAAGAACGAGAGTTCTTCCTTTCCCCAAAAAATCGCGGTTCTTTCATTTTCGATTTTATGCCACAACCTATGGTTATTTTCCCCTACTTAATTGATACTAACCATAAAGAAGTAAAAATTCCTCCTCTTCTGAAGAATTCGCGGTTGTTTTTTTTTTGGATCCTTGAGTCGAAATCGCTCAAACGATATTCGAAAAGCGACCAATTCTTATCAAAGGCTATGAATTCGCGGTTTCTTGAGATTTTTTAATAGCGGACAGAAGGTCGGTAGCTGCAACCAAGACCAAAGAGTATACATACATAGAGAGGACATCCCATATAAAAAAAGTCTGTCGTATGGCGGGTTCTAGCGGTGGAACCCGCAGTTTAACCGTAGAACCCGCACTGCTCGGTTCTACTTGGAATCTAGTCGGCCGCGGCACTGCTTGCCATTTGGCGTAGTGGGTAAGACATCTGACTACCAATCTAAGCGGTACGGGGATCGAATCCCGATGTAGAATTTCGATTTCTTGCGACGGTTAACTTTTTCGTTTTTTTGTGCCGTTTTCTCGTCCGCCTGTTAAATTTAAAGGAGGGTTCAAACTCCGATTTCCCATTCGATTTCAAGGTTTTAACCTACTTTAAATTTAACAAACGGACGAGAAAACGGCCCTAAAGCTAGGAACACACGATGCAAATAAATTGCAGCAAGTTGATTGCTGCAAATTGCTGCAAACTAATTTGGTGCAAATTTTTTGAATCGTGTATACCTAGCTTAAGAGTATTTATTATTTTTTTTTGTGTTTATACCCGTTACTCGTAGAGTAAAAGGGTATATTGTATTCATGCAAAAGTATGTAACAGGTAGAAGGAAGCGTTTCCGACCCTATAAACTATATAGATTCTTGATCAGGATCACTAGCCGAGTCGATCTAGCCATGTCCGTCTGTCCGTATGAACGCTGAGATCTTGGAAACTACAAAAGCTAGAAGGTTAAGATTTTTCACAAGTTTATTTCAGCCGAGCGCCACGCCCCCTCTAACGCCCACAATCGCCCACTAACGATTTTTAAATGTGTCTTGCGCACATCTTTAAAGATTTTTGAGAAGTATAAATGCAATTTTGTTGTGTATATATATACCTATCGAAATGTAGAAGACATTTTTCAAATCGGACCATTCATTAAAAAGTTATACGCTATCAAAATTTATGTATCTATCTCCCTCGCACTCCCTTTAGCTGAGGTTCGAATATTAGATAGTCGGGACACCAACCAACGAGTATAGCGTTTGCACTCCCTTTAGCTGAGTGGCGGGTATTAGATAGTCGGGACACCAACCCGACTATAGCGTCCTCTCTTGTTTTGTATTGCTTTTTAGGAGCATTTTTAGTTTTTTTGTGTTTTTTTTCCATTTTGTAGTTACTATTGATCATCAAAGGGTAACACTACTAGTAAATAGATAGATCTTAAAAAAATATTAATTATATTAGATATATTTTAGAATATAAGCTTTGTAATATTCATGAATTATTTTGTAGCTTTAAAGCTTAATTAACTAATAAAATAAAATAAATATATTTCGAGACAAATAAAAACAAGAAAGGAAGCTAGCTTCGGCCAGCCGAAGCTTATATACCCTTGCAGATAATTTCTATTAATTTACAAATCGCAAAAATGTTAATTTTCCTATTATTTTTCATTAATTTTGCATTCGTTTCAATGGCAGCTATATGATATAGTAGTTCGATTTTAATTTTATTAAATTCGAAAATATTTGAAAAGAGTTATATCCTAGAGTAGAAGAGAATATAATAAAAACCAACGAAGCAATAATTTATTTCCTATTATATTCCCATTAATTTTCCGATCGTTCCTATGGCAGCTATATGATATAGTCGTCCGATTTTGAAAAAATTTTATTCGAAATTCAGAATTAGATAAAAAATGACATTTCCAAAAGAAGGATGTTATAGGTTCAAAAACACCCAAGATATTATTTTTTTACATTTTTTTCCCCGATTGTTCCTATGAGAGCTATATGATATAGTTGTGCGATCCGGCTCGTTCCGACTTATATACTACCTGCAATAGAAAGAAGACTTTTGGGAAAGTTTCATCCCGATAGCTTGAAAACTGAGAGACCAGTTTGCGTAGAAACGGACGGACAGACGAACGGACAGACGGACAGACGGACGGACAGACGGACATGG